AAGGGTTCAATGCCGGAACTACTTCAAATAGGGGATTAAGGATCCGTAGGCTCTTCCCAATTCACAAAAAGAGGAACCCTGCCGTCTGCGCCAATTGTTGTGGAATAAGCCACCTGAATATAGCATATAAAATTGTACAATACTTTGTGAGAGTTTGAAGCCCGCTGCCAACAAACTGGCAAATTTATCAATGGCCATATACTCGCCAGTCGCCACACGATTTTAAGGTTGTTTTCAACAGCGCTGTGTCAATTGACATTAAGCAACACCAAAAGCTCCGTCAGGGTCGGAAAGGACGAGCCGTTCAGTATCAGACGAAGCTTCAGGCAGGGTGACTTTTTCTCGTTTGACTTCTTTAACCCAATGTGATGATATTAACTGAGTATACAATTGAAGAGTAATGTCCTCTCTCTACGAGCAAATATATCATACTAAGCTATACAGTCGCATCCGATAAGTCGGCTTTGGAAGCTTTAGAGTGAAATTTTGCATCAACTTCAACTCAATTGGAACAACGAATCAAGCACGAATAAAGTGAGTAGCCCTAACCAAAAGGATATCATGATGATATGAAAAGTAACGACGAATTGTGGACCATAATGGACCGTATTAGAAAATTATAGTCTTTGTGGGTGTGTTAAAAATTAAGTCGAGATACGGTGATGGAAGTAACTACTCCAGGTGAAATCTTCGGATATAATGGCTCTATCAGTGCTTACGTCAGTCAATCAGAAAGCAAGAATTTGCAAATTAATAGCAAACCGGTGTAAGTTCATCCTCAAGCTAATGGTTAGGCTTATCACTGCGGGGTATAATCCAACCTTAATTCCAGTTATTAAAGCGTGATCCATTTCGTAGTTCCCTAATGGAAAAATGCAGGAAATTCGTCGGCCGTTGAGCCCAATCTTCGATTTCGTTAGAACATTTCGACTTATAACTGGCGAATGATACACGTGATGTTTCGCTCCAAGGCGAAGCGGGATTGTGCGCATAGATTCTAGACTTTACATATCCCCTCAGGAAAAATTCTAACGGTGTGATATCACTCGCCCGAAAAACGAGAAATTATCTGATCACCGAAGTGTTCTCTCAATACATTCATTGATTGATGCGAAGTGTGAGAATTGGCACCCTCTTGTGGAAACCAAATGTCGCCGAGATCACGAGCTTCAATATCAGGTATTAAATAGTCGGTTATCGTGGCGCTATAACGACCGCTGTTGACCGATAATTCCACCGGCTCACAAACCGTGATTTTTCGTCCCGAATGTGACAATTTTACTTGTTTACATACACATTGAGCCGGAAATGGCTTCCACGCTGAACAAAAATTGTCTTGAAAACGTCGGATCTTCTTGGAACTTTTCAAAGGCTCACAGAGCGAAGCGATGTTGTTTGGGAAAGTCGAGCGGCCTCGGTTCTTGCACAAGTTGTATTTTATACGCTCTCACTTTAAGATTTCGACGTAAAATGTTCAAGTCGTTCCATCTAACATTCCTAGTTGCTGCGAACGGCGCCGAATCGACTCTCCATGGTCTTCGCGTACTTCCTCAGCTGTGGCCGCTATACTTTCTTTACTGCATGCTGGACGTAGTCTATTCGATCGAATGTAATAGAATAATGCATGTTGGATCTCAATATGACTGATGATGTTTCGAATAGTACGCTCAATAGGCCGATTGCGTTGAGCAGAAGTTGAACGAAGCGCGCGAAACACATTCTTTACTGAACTTGAATTTTCGTAATAAAGTTGAACGATTTGTAAACGTTGTTCAGGCGTAAGGCTTTCCATGATGAAAGCCAAATAAGACTGAGCATCTGATCTGTCAAAAAAATGGTTATTAAAAAAATGCCTCAACATGGATCACCCGTTATATATGCATTTTAGCACATGTGGCATAAATGTATTTAAGTGAGAATTTATCGGCTGCTTCCTGCGACTCTTGTAGCGCTTCTGCCTGGCTGTACTCTGTGATTAAAGTGAAATATTGCCGAGTGCCGCCTGCTGCCGCGTCAGCTTCCCGTATTGCTGGTTGTCATGTGCATCTGGTGCTTCGACTAAGCTGAGCTGTCAAGTTATGCGCTTTAGTGAAGGCATAAAAATGTTCATTCGGGCGGTTAAAATTTGAAATTTTGCAGTTTTAGAAGTGCGCTTTGTGGCAATCAGCAGCCGGAGTGATTGTCATTATTGTTGGGGCTTAGGTGCATTTCAAACTGCCGTTATATTTTGCAATAACGGAAAAGTTTCGTCATTTTTGATTTGTCAATGCGCGTGAAACCTCATACAGTTGCTTCCGCTCTTGTAGCATTTTGTAAGCAAAATCTACGGTGTGTGCGTGTGTGTATATATGCAAGTGTTTAGCTGAAATTATATTTACTGCAAGCATATAACGGTATGGCACAGTTATTGTTCAACGCTGCCAATACTTAATATCACCGCTGATGGATTTAAATTGGCAATTAAGTAGCAGGATTGTTGTTGTTGTTGGATAAGTGTGCTGCAGCTGCATTGGTGGGAGAGACTGTCAACTCGTTTAATGCTTGGAACAAGAGAACTCGTCACGTAGAGCTCGTTGATGGCCATAACTTGATGGTAGTTGGATTAAATGATGGCTCAAAGGAGCTCAAAAAGTAACAAACTTAATTAATATTGACAGTTTTATCGTCCACGGGTTTCTCATGCGGGACGCGTGATAAGGGAATGGAAAAGGATTTTAAGGCGAAATAGAAACGTGAATTAAAAAGGGGTAACAAAGTTGGCTCCCAAAACGTTTGCTGGCACTTTTAAAAATTTATTAAAAGTATCATCTTTATATTTTATCTTTCCCTTAGTTAGTTTAACAGGTTGCCCGATCACGGAGTGCTAATCAAGCGCACTTAGGTCTACTGGCCCATTGTGATACCTATATTGGTCCTTTGAAGGCGATGTTCTCACTTTTCCGAATTCTCAAGCCACTTGGTGTGCTTTAAAAAGTTCACTGATTCCTCCTCATCTGTGTCCTTGGAGTTGCGACAAAAACCGATTGAGCAGCAGGCAATCCTACTGCCATGAGTCCATGAGAGGCCTCGTATAGACAGACTAAAGACTGATCTCGAGTGCATAGAGGTCCCGTTGAGACAAAATAAAGATTGACTTCGATTAATAGCCAAATTTTTTGGGTCACATTATATGTGGTCACTCTGTGCCATCTGCTGTTGACCTTCCTGATGATCGTCAGTCTTAAGAGACGCCTTAGCGAGGCAAGAGCTATGACCACGTCATGTACAGAGCTTACCGTAGTCATAATGACTCCGTTTCTCGTCAGTTCGTCGGCTACGCAGTTCCGTGGAATGTCTCTATGGCCCAGGATTCAAACCTAAAACCACGAGAGTGGTTGGAAATCTCTTACTTAGTTCGATAGCAAAAGTAGTCTGCGCCAATTGTCGTGAAATAAGTCTCCTCAATAGTACATATAAAGTCCTATCAAGTATTTTGTGTGAAATTCTAAAGTCCACCGTCAACAAGCTGATTATACCTTATTAGTGTGGCTCCAGTCCTCGCAAGTCAACCATTGACCAGATATTCACCATACGCTAAATCTTGGAAAAGACCTGTGTAAATAGGAGCGACTCACTCTTTTCGTCGATTTCAAAGCAGGAGCTGCCTCCTATGGTATAACTGACCTTAGGAACCACTAAAAGCTATGCGAGCCGTTCGATACTAAATGAGGTTTCAGACAAGATGATGAAGAGTGTGAGTTTAACTTATTGTTGAAGAAAATAATACGAGCTGCAGAGTGCTATAAGAGTGTACGGCAAGACCAAAATGCCACTTCGGACTGAGTAGGCAATTGGAAGGTAAAGTCCTTTCTCGACGAACGAAAACCAAACTCTACAAGTCGCTTATAGTTCACGTCCTGCTATAAGGTGTGGGAGCATGGACGATGACAATGTCTGATATGATTTTCCGTCCAATTTATGGTCCTCTCCGAGTTGCGAACGGCAAATACCGCAGACGATGGAATGATGAGCTGTATGAGATATACGACATATTGATATAGTTCAACAAATCAAGAACCAACGGCTGCGCTGGCTAAGTCATGTGGTCCGGATGTTTAAGAATACTACAGCTTTGAAAGTTTTCGATGCAATACTCGCCGGTGAAAGCAGAGGAAGAGGAAGACCTCCACTCCGTTGGAGAAACAAGGTTAAAAAGAATGTGGCTGAACTTGGTATCTCCCATTTACGCCAAACGGCGATAAAATAAAAAAATTAAAATTCAGCTAAAATCGCGTAGCACTGCAGGCCAGTAAAGTAAGTAAGTATGTGTGTTGAAACGGCTCAATGTCTAAGTGTCTTAATGTTTGATTCTTCCAAGAGCGGATTCTCCATTTAGTTTTTTCAAATGTCAATCTCGTCAACCCTAAAGGTAATAAGCATTACCTTATGGCGTCTACCAGTACCGCATGAAAACGAAAGCTTTTGATAAGTCGAGTGCTTTTAGGACATTTTACAATTTTAATTTCACTTTTTAGTTTTCTGTTTTACTCAGTTGTGGGATTTTCATTTAAATTCTTCTCAGAACATACATATATATTTTTGAAGGAGCCGCTGCTATGTAGATGGGACGGTATTATGAGCCATACTCCAGGTAATAGGTGTAAGCAACATAGCACTCAGGTGTCTTGGTTGTTATAAAAGAGATCAAAAAAATAGAAGAAGCTACAGATTGCAGTTTATAATCATAAAAGAGTCTTCTGCGTTATGTCAAATATGCCAAAAATTAGAAATACTCAAACCTGGACTCAAACCGGGCTATAAATTAATTAAGAAATTAGAATTTAAAGTGTAGAATTTTTCAACATCAAATGAAATTTTCACTTATTCCCCTTGGCATACTTTTTGATACTGACAAAATCACCCTGTTTCGCAAATCTCAGCCGATTTCACATTCTCTTTGATCATGCCAAACCAAAAGAAATTTCCTCACAAAATTCGCGATCAGTTTAGTTCTGTTCGTGCAGTTGCCCGTCGGTGTGTCGTTTGTGCGCTAAGAAACAAAGAAATGCTTTTCTAACACAAAAAAAAAATTTGTAAAAAAAATTAAATTAAATATACCATAGCGCCAGCTGAGGAAAATCATAAATAAAAACTTTAAATAAATACGCTTTTGAAGTTCTTCTGAGCGGGCAATAAAGTTGACTTCTTCCGAGTTGCCGTGTGCGTCGCAACATGGCCCACCAGCTGCGCCAACACGGTTTGCCCCATTTCAGAGCATCCATACCGCGCTGCCTCCGTTTAGCGTTCGCACTGCTGATTACATTGAATTGCTTGCAAATTGCGAATTCTCAAAAGACAAATGTCGGTAAGTTAGTTTCGCAGAAAATTGTCTGCGCGCATTTTGTGCAATTTATTTCGCATGCAAATTTGATTATATAAAATGTGACAAAAAATCGATGCAACGCACGCAACACACGCCGCCACCGCGCTCATCTCGTGCACTTAGACCAGTGCCAGTGCATGGATGGCGCACGCACCAAAGTGTCTTCCACTCGTAAGTAGCGCATCCAAAAACGCATTACTTATGGTACCTGTTTATTTTCTCTTAATGCAGTTGGATACAAAAAAACCAAAAAGATGCACACACACGTATATATACAGCTGTACGCGTTTGCTCAACCAACACTATATACTTGTATATACGTGTGTATGGACATACGCCGAGATTTGGTGGATATATAACAATTCGGATTGCTTCTTGTGACGCTTTTCTTGCAATTTAATTTTTTTTTTTCATTTATTTTTTGTTGTTCTTTAAATTTGCTGCATTTGAAGAACAACGAAACCGAAACAAATACAGTCCGGTGTATTTGGATGCATAAACAAACAGACTGAGGACGAAAAACATGAAATGAGAATATAATAAAATAAAATTACTTAAAACGAAGTAAAATGAAATTTCAATTAAATTTTGTTTCCATTTTTTAGTATACAATGCATTGAAAAATAAAAATATTTTAGGGATTGAGATGGCTGAATCAATTTGAGATAAGAAATTTGACATTTCGATGAAAACCTGACCTTTATAAAAGACAACAAGCTCCTTCTATCCCAATATAGGAGATAAGAAATAAGTATGAGGAATAGGAAAATGTAGGCAAGTGGAGAGGAAAGATGTAAGCCGCGTCGAAAATTCGTAAATTCACTTTATTTGGTAACCACTACGAGGGAGAACAGTCAGCCACCAGGATAAGTGGATGCTATACTCAGAGATCGGTCTTCAGTTTTTAAAAAGTGTCTAAGGTTACTGACAAAAATCGATTTAGTCGGTACAAAGTCCCAATTAAATACACATATCGGTTTGGTAGTCGCGGTCGCCGAGTGGTTAGCACTGCCTACTGCCATTCGGAAGATTCGGGTTCAAGTCGTGGTGTCGTATTAACAACCAAAAAGTTACAGAAAATTAATTTAAATAAAAAACTAAGATGAACTAAGTCGGCAAGGAATGTCAACCCCTCCGAGTGTTTTTCAGACATGAAGTAAAGGTTCCTCGTAAAAAATACCATCGGCCGTTCAGAAACGGCTTAGTATCGACTGTACGTCCCTCCATTTGTTGGAAAAACATCAAAACGCAACAATCACAAGTTGGAGGAGGAGCTCGGACGAAAATTGCTTCAGCGGTTACAAAGCGCCATTTATATATATATATATATATAGTAAAAAGTAATACATTATTTTTGCAATAGATGGCTTTAGTCATCTGAATTTAGCTAGAGAGATGATATTTTGCACTAAAGAAGATAGTGGGAGAAGTATTTGAGCACATGCCAAAGCTAGGCAGCACTAAGAAAGATACGTAGATAGTCACCGGTCACTTTAAAACAGTCTGCAAGCCTGTATTGACGGCCAGGAAGATATTGTTATATGGGTTTGGCAAAGAATACTTTACTAAAAGCTGATCGCCTATGGTCAAACTCTTAAACCGTCTGAGGGAAACAATCGCTCAGAAGCGATTGATCAAAAAGAAGGGAAATGTGTTTCATCAGGACAACGCCAGACCACACATATCGGTAGTAAGCCGCCAGAAGCTCCGAGAGCTTGGCTGGGAGGTTCTTATGCTTTCACCTTATATTCCGGACCTCGCTGTAAGTGATTGCCATATGTTGCAATCTATGCCGCATGAAGTGGCTGAGAATTGTCCCCAGTTTTTGCCAATAGGCGCAGGGGTTTCTATGAGACCTTTATAATGGCATTGCCTTCGAAGTCCGAACAAGTGATCGAGCGAAACAGTAGCTATGGTAAATAAAGTCTTCATATTAATGCAATGTTAATGGATTTCTTTTCCCAATACCAAATAAAAGGTTAGAAATCTTTTTTTATAGAAGCAAATGCTGAAAAGCTCTTGTGAGAAAGTAAGAAACTCCATATAAATTTATATTGGCGGAGTCTACCGAAGTCTCATTATCTTACTTTCTCTTCTATTTTGTCTGCTAAAGTCGCCAACTATTGCCAACAGAGGAGCAATAGCCACAGATAGTAACCTTTTACTGGCCAAGCTTGGTCTGTTAACTCCTATAACAACTCTAGAGTTAATTATTAAGAGAAAGATGCTGATGAGCGAGTTTGGTCGGCACATTTTCCAGACTTCTCAACTAATTAAGTACAAACACAAAAGGAGAACTGACAAACAGAGTATGAACTATTCATTGGAGTAGTTTCGAGTTCGTTGTTAATAAAGAGATAGCGACCCAGCTGTTTATTGGAAGCATGCACCAGAGAAGTAGTCTATGACAACTTTTCCGAAATACCACAATAAAAGCTAGTATGCTCCATATCAATCCAAACAACTCTGACGAATAGTCTTTGGGGAGTTTAGAAGATCTAACTTGGAATATGGTATAGTCAGGAGTCCAATATTTTAATATATTAAAAGTAGTTCGCTGAAATTATCCAATTGTTCCCCTCGTTAAGGCCTTATTTTAGATTGTCTCTTTTAATTCTTTAGTGTTGCCCACGATTATTTGAAATCTGGAAACATTCGTTCAAAAAATCAATATTTTTCTTAAGGGATACCATTTGACTGAAATCTGAAAATCTCATGAGCTACTACAGAACTTATTCAGGTGCAAATGGTTGCTGAACATAGCCGCCGAGCTTGGCAGAGCTCCTCCTCTAGTTAGTAGTTGTGTTGCGGCTCTATGTTTTACTATCAAATTAAGAAACCTCTAGTTCATTCGCAGGCTACCCCCGAGCAGATGATGCTTTTTTATGAAGAGCTTTTATTACATTACACAAATACTCGTACTCTCGGAGGGGTGACCGTAATTATAATTTCCTTTTTTACAATTTCGGCTGTTGGTCTGACAAGAATTCGAATTCATGACCATATGTATGACAGCATATACTACTAACCATTCCGTTGACGTAACCACCATTGGCTAAATAAATGTATATGTCAACATGACCTGCTATTCCATCAGTCTTTAAATGACTTTGGATTGCTTCCGAAGTAATGCTTTCATTCAAATTTTGAACCTGTAGCTTTTATTATTTGTTTCTCATTAATATTTGTTTCATTTAAAGGTCTCATCTACGAAAGCACAAAGCCCGAAATGGAGAAAATCTTTCAAATGGCAATCGCACAGGCGAATGAAGATAGCGGCGGCGAACTGGAGCTGCACGGCATAGCGGTGGCCATTGAGCCGGGCAATGCATTCGAAACATCAAAGAAACTCTGCAAAATGTTAAGGGTAAACGCAGTTTCGCACCATATGTGTGGCAAATGAAAAAGCAATTTTTTTTTTTTGACTTTGCAGCAAAATTTAGTGGCTGTTTTCGGACCAACGACAGATTTGGCCGCCAAACATGCAATGAGTATTTGCGATGCCAAAGAGCTGCCATTCATCGACACACGTTGGGATTTCGGTGTACAAATGCCAACAGTTAATTTGTATCCGCACGCCTCACAGCTGGCGTTGGCGCTGAAGGATTTGGTTGTGGCACTAGAATGGAGTGATACCTTTACAATCATCTATGAAACGGGTATGTGTGCAGGGACGAGTGGGGCGGTTGAATGAGCACTTTGAAAATTGAAAGAAATTTACTGTAAATCAACAGGTGAATTTCTGCCGACGGTTAATGAATTACTGCAAATGTACGGCACGGCAGGGCCCACAATCACTCTCAGGCGCTATGAGTTGGATTTGAATGGTGACTATCGCAATGTGCTGCGTCGCATTAAAAACTCTGGTGACTACTCTTTCGTGGTGGTGGGTTCGATGGCGACGTTGCCGGAATTTTTCAAACAGGTTTGCATGTCCTTGTCACATCACGGTGTTTGAATTTTAGTCATTAATTACTTATGAAAAAATTTGTATGCACATAATTATGTAATTTTCTTACAGGCTCAACAAGTTGGCCTCATGACCAGCGATTATCGTTACATTGTGGGTAATTTGGATTTGCAAACCATAGATTTGGAGCCTTTTCAACATGGCGACACCAACATCACCGGCATGCGTTTGGTTTCACCGGAAATGGAAAACGTGCAGAATTTGGCGAAGGCTTTATATGAAACGGATGATCCTTTTCAAAATGGTAAGTAGAAGATTTATCTGTAATTTAATTGACAAAAATATTGTAAGCAATGAATTTTCATAATTCAACCTTAAAAAATGCATAGCTACAGTGGTTGTCAAATAATAATTATTGTTTATAAAGTAATTATAAAACCGTACTGAAACTATGTTAATTATTATTATTTGTCAAAAAAAAAAAAAAAATCAAAAAAACCCGGATTTTTGGGCTTGGTAGCATTGAAAGCTTCGAGTTGAAATTCCCTTCAATTTTTGAAGGCGCAGCTAAGGAATATTCATTTCACAAACTCAATAAGTTTAACAACATTAACATTACGTCAAATTCAAATTGTATTCGAAGAAAGAAGAAGAAAAATTCCTCTCTTTGTCTCAAATGCATTTGCAGAGAGCAATATTGGGAATCAAGCCAAAATTTCTCTCAGTTTTTAAGCCTTTTGATACCATAAGTTAAAGTACTAGTAGTTTAATTTATGAAGACGGTAATTCGACGGGTTTTGTCGAGCTCTTCCATTGATTTGTAAAATGTGCGCCTTGAGTTTTTCTCCAAACCAATGGAGTGGCGTATAGTTTATTCTAAGTCTCCACCGAATGGCTAATTGATTTTTATTTTATGTTAAAAATATACTTAAAGGGGTTAAAATTTGCAACCGAATTGTAGCCGGAATTAGGAAAATTAAACTAAAATTAAAAATTACTGCTCTTTTCTTTTGACCGAACTTCAAAAGAAGTGTCGCGCCTCTGGACCGTATTTATAGAACCAAGATTCGTCACCAGTAATGACTTTACTAAAGTTGCTAGGCTGACCATTTCCGAATTTGTTTAGGAAAAATTGAACCTCTTTTTTACCTCATTTAAAAATCGGGGTAAACATTGAGAAGATTTCTTCGCATATCTCAGATGATTACTTAATATTCGCGATATAGCCAAGGCATTCAAATCCAATTCATTAGCAACCATTTCTTGTGTCAATCGCGGGTCTTCGTCAATTTTGGACTCCACCAGAGCTAAAATGACGTCATCAGTGAGAGAGTTTGGTAGACCTTCTCAGCGCTTGTCCTCTACGGAAAAATGTGCGATCTGGAATCTTTGGAGCTACTTAGAAATAGTCTTTGAAGACGGTGCAATCGTTCACTATGCAATTTGGCATTCACTGAATATTTGTATTGGCTATCAATTACGCCGAAACCAGAAGAAAATCACATGGCAAATTTCTGCTTGCGTTGGTGGTGGAGTTTCGTCCGACCTATTTCTCATCTCCGTTTCAGCCGATCGTTCAAAAAAGACTAATAAAGTAATTGTTAAGGATTTGTTGCTTTTAGATTTAATAAAAACAAATTGAAAGTCTCAAACCGACCGTACTTTTGTTAATCTACTCAAATATGCGAACATGAAATGGTATGCTTCTTTTGGTCCAAAGTATGGCGGCCGCGGTAGCCGAGTGTATTTCGGACATGAAATAAAGTTCCTCATATGAAAAACCATTAGCCGTTCGGAGGCGGCTTAGTATAAACTGTAGGACCTTCCATTTGTTGGAAAAACATTAAAACGCAAAACCACAATTTGGTGGAGGAGGAGCTCGGCCGAAAATCGTTTCAGCGGTTACAATGCGTCAGAGATAGAGCCGTAAGATTTTATACCAAAATGATCAGAATAACGAACTGAGTTGATTAAATCATAGCCGTCTGTCCGCCTTTATCCAACAAAACATGTTTAATCTGGGTCTGAGTCTGGCACTGCGTTCAGTAATACTCGGTCCACAGAAACGTCCAGGTGAGTCAATACTTCCAACACTTAAAATTGTAGAAAACCAATTTTGCTAACTGCGGCCGTTCCTCCCATCGTTAAAATCCTTCGTACTTTCGGAGGAGCGCGCTTTTGTTCGAAAAGCTTCGATACGTATACCACAAATTGGAAGAAGAGATCGATTGAAAATGTGCTCTGCCTAATCCACAAATAAAGGCAATCACACAGAGTGCACCAATTACTGTGGGATAAGCCTACTTAATATCGCTTTTAAGGTCCTGTCGAGCGTATTGTGTGAAAGACTGAAGCTCACCCTCAACAAACTCTTTGGACCCCATCAGTGGGGCTTCAGACCTGGTAAGTCAACCTTTGACCAGGCTTTCACTATGTGCCAAATCTTGGAAAATTTCCTTGAAAAGAGGATCGACACCCACCACCTCTTCGTCGATTTTAAAGCAGCACGAGAAGAAGCCGAAAGGCTCCGTCAGAATTGGGATGGACTTCTCCGAACCGTTCGATACCAAACGAGGTTACAGACAGGGTGATTCCTTATCGTGTGGCTTCTTCAATTTATTGCTGGAGAGAATAGTGAAGTGAATGAAGGCAAGACGAAATGACTCCTGCCATCAAAGAAAGTGTCATCGCACTCGCTACTCGGCCCCCATGTTGCTGTTGACATTCATAACTTTGAAGTCGTGAATAACTTCGTTCATCTTGGAAACAGTATTAACACCCACAATAATGTCAGCCTAGAAATCCATCGGAGAATCACTCTTGGCAACAGATGCTAATTCGGATTGAGTAGGCAATTGAAAAGTAAACTCCTCTCTCGGCGAACGAAAACCAAACTCTAAAAGTCGCTCATCATACCCGTCCTACTATATGGCGCTGAAGCGTGGACGATGTCAATATCTAACGAGTCGGCTCTAGGAGTCTTCAAGAGAAAGATTTGAGAACGATTTATGGTGCTTTTCTCATTGGCAACGGCGAATACCGCAGACGATGCAACGATGAGATGGACGAGCTAATTGACGATATTGACATAGTCCAGCGAATGAAGAGACAGCGGCTACGCCGGCTAGGCCATGTCGTCCGAATGGATGAAGGCACTCCAGCTTTGACAGTATTCAATGCAGTACCCGCTGGGGGAAGCAAAGGAAGAGGAAGCGAGCGACCTGACTTCACTTGGTATTTTCAACTTACGCCAAACAGCGAAAAGAAGAGATCGCGTAAGCGGTGCCAACGTAAACAAAGAAGAAAAAGTTATAAAGCGTTAATTACGAGTATACTCCTATATATATGGATCTAATGGATAATGCGCATCCTCAGAGAAGCTTTGTAGTTCTCACCGGAGGCGATAATGTTCAACACGTACAAGAATTAAAGCCGAACAACCATTAAGCACGTAGCCCGTTCGGTGAATATGCACAAAATGGGATGACCCGAGATCCCCCTTTTTACAATAAATTTCTTTTCAGCGCTGAAGCTCACTTTTGGTTGCAGGACAAACTCATATTTAGAGATCAAGTCAATGGAAAAATTTCTAGGGAAGTCTTAGAATAATATTCCTGCATTATTTATGATTATTTAATTCTGTGTCACCGCTGATGCCATCGCTATTAGATGTGCACAAGAACTTTGACCTGCAAATAAATGTAAGTTGCCCTACAGCCATAGAAGAGAAATCAAGACACAACATACGGAGAGCATTTGAAATTACTTAGCTATGTATGTATGTATGTACAAAGCTATACACTTGTAAGTACATAAATATATTCATATGTGTAAATGGCTACAAATATTTTATGTATAAGCATCAGATAGACGTACAGATCTCCCACTCAAGTCTATATTTGTATCTATAAATGTATATATGTATGAATGTTTAATAATAATCTCTTCCTCTTTGTGCCATTTCTATTTGCAGTGTCATGTCCTTTGACCACCAACATGGCATTGGTGTACGATGGCGTACAGTTGTTGGCTGAAACATTCAAACACGTTATGTTCCGTGCGGTGCCATTAAATTGTAATGATGCCAGCTCATGGGATAAGGGATACACGCTCGTTAACTATATGAAATCGGTGAGTTAATGGTGTGATAACTACCAATACAAACATAATCGTACATATATGTTCAATGTATGCTCATCTGAAGTACTCTTGGGCCAGGCATAAGACTTACTTTACAACAACACTTCTCTTGGCTGTGATTTCCTTCTTCTTAGTGATTATTTTCTTATACTTCGTGGATGTACACCGATTAACAGCTGCCGTTGTAGGCGAGTTTCTGTGTGGTGGGGTAATGGGGCGCTAGGAGATGGTGGTTTTACTTGTATGTTGATACTCGTTTGTACGAGTATGTGAGATATGGAACCAAGACATTCGTGTTCAAATGTCCGAGGGAATATTAATTTCATTGAATTTTTGGTCTTCTCCACCGCAGTTGAAGATTAGGAATGCGAGCAGTTTTATGCTTCTTAAAATACTTTCGAGCAGAGTCTCAGGATGAATTTAGTTCCAATTTATGACTGAACTAACCTTTCAAGTCAACTGACTAGTACTGACGCCTCCTACGTAAAGATATAGGATGAATCTGTATGCGTATGCGACAGGAAAGGAAAGGAAAGGAAAGGAAAGGACAGGAAAGGAAAGGAAGGGAAAGGAAAGGAAAGGAAAGGAAAGGAAAGGAAAGGAAAGGAAAGGAAAGGAAAGGAAAGGAAAGGAAAGGAAAGGAAAGGAAAGGAAAGGAAAAGAGAAACAAAATTAAATGGAATGGTGTAATGCTTGTCGACTATGTACTTTGCTGCATTACTTTCGTTACCGACGAAGAATAAACACTATTCGCTTAAAATCCTCTGAGCTGAACAAACTCTTCTTCTTCTTTAGCAGAGTAGGCACCCGTTACACGATTACAGCTGAGTTAACAAACTTTGCCCCTTTCGTTTCACCTTTTCCCAATTTTTCGCCAATTGGAAAAACAGCCACGTCTTTTCAATTTGGTCTTTCCAACGGAGTAGAGGTTTTCCTCTCAATATGCCTAGACTGGCGGGTAGTGGTACAATGTCGCCGTATATCTCATAAAGCTGAGCATTCCATCGGCAGCGATATTCCGTTACCAACTCGTAATGGATCACAAATCTGATGCAAAACTAAATCAGATATTGTCATCGACCATGACCCCGCACCATATAGCAAGGCGGGTTATGATAACCTACTTATAGAGTTTAGTTTTCTCTAGTAGAGAGAGGACTTTACTTTTCAATTGCCTGCTCAGTGCAAAGTAGGACTTGTTGGCAAGAGTGATTCTGATCTAGTTGACATTATTATTATTGTTAATACTGGTTCCAAGATAGACGAAGTTATTTACGACTTGCAAGTTAGGACTGTCGTGGGGACTAGAAAATATATGAAACCTTGCACAGGCGTAACATTCTTATAAGTACCGTAAACCTACGCCCATATACCTGTATATCTCTGTTTGAATGCACGCAATATTTCATTAACTACTCTGTGGAAAAAAATTTTATTTAGTGAACTCAAAACCAAAACAAGTTTATTAGTGCTTTTTTTCACATTCTCAAACTATTTTCATATCCCGCTCTTAGTTTCTTCATACGTAACAACGAGTATATTCGCATGCGTTTGCTTGTAACTACAGCTGTGAGCACTTTAACGTTCACACCATTTCTTTCGTAATTTACTACATACTTTCAGTTAAGCTTGAATGGACTCACTGGCGAAGTTAAATTCGACTATGAAGGCTTACGTTCAGATTTCACATTGGATGTTATCGAGTTGAGCATGTCAGGTATGCAGAAAATAGGTGAATGGAAGACTGAAGATGGCTTCATAGCTAATCGACCACCGCCAAAGATTGTGGAGCAGGATCAACGTTCGTTGGTGAATAAAAGTTTCGTTGTAATAACAGCCATAGTAAGTTTGAGTGGAGCTTTTGGTACGTAGTTAATTTGTTAAGGTATACTTATAGGGGTACATTAGGGTGGTGAAATAAATATATAAAAATTGAATGTTTCGTTTTTACTTGTTACTAACTTGCCATAAACGTTGCGAAAATGTTATGAAATTTAATATCACTTCATTATTGAAAATGCTATATATGTAGAAAAAAAGATATTTTGGAAAATATAGTAGAAAATTGTAATATATGTAGAGATTTATAATTTTTATTGAAAAATCTTACATCAAAAAATACTAAAAAAATTATGAAATATTTTTAAATAAAAATTACACTTTTCAATGAAAAAGTTTGAGTTATTTGAGATCATGCCGATCAGTTGTTGGAACCGGAATCATCAATTTGGGGAAATTTTGGAGTGTAATATTTCTTTATCAATTAATGAAGATCTTCTTAAAATATTTAAAAGAAGAGCTTTACAAAATTTGAAAATTTGTTCTTAATTTTTAATAACAATATCGAAAGCCTTTTAAGTTATAGAGCTGACTTAGGAAAGCGCTACCGAACTTTTTTGGTAAGAAAATTTTGATAAATCACAAATTTTCAAAACTATAATTAAGATATTTATTTTTAAATTTTCGAAAACAAATTAAAAATTCAAATTTTAAATTTTTAAACATTCAAAGGTACTTAAAAAATACTGAAATATAAAAAAAATGTTCGAAATTAATTTTTGATAAGTCTGAATACGTTAAAGACTTGCTTCTAAAATTATCAAAGGATACTGAAATTTTTCCAACTGTATACTTTTATAATAAAAAAAGTTAATTTTTACTGCGTTTTCTGTTTTTAAAAACCAAATTTTGAAAACTTCATAATTTCCAAATTTTTGAATTTTTTAAAATTGTCTTCTGGCTTGATATTTTTGGTACTATATTTAATTGAAAAAATAAGTTTTTGAGCTTAATTCATTTTTGATTTTTGAAAATTAAATTTTGATAAAATTGAATTTACTAAAAGCAAAAGTTGATAAAAATCTTTAAAACGATGAACATTAAATTTCTGTTTGATTATTAAAAAAAATTGAAAAAAAAACAATTATACAAATATTTTCTTAAAAATTAATAAAAAGTAGAGCTCAAGATTTGGTGAGAACATTTTCGAGCAGCTCCAGTACTTGAGATACGAGCACTCGCACACTCGTTCAATGCTCATTGCCCGAAGATATTCGATTACGAGCTCGGGAAATTCGATATTTTTCGTGCATTTTGAATAAAAATACTGACTTTTTTCTCGTTTTTCTTATAATTTCACATTTTTTTATGCAAAATTTAAAGCTCATTGAAATAATAAACGAATTTCGGTAAATAAAACAAAAATTGAAAAATTTCAAACGAACGTCTGAGCAGTAGAGCAACGAGTGAGTACCGACCGAGCTGCTCACATTGCTCGATATACGGGTATTTAGTACATTAAAAAGTAAATTTTGATGTAACCCAATTTTTTAAAACTATCCTTTTTTTGAAATTTTAATAATTTATAATGTCAAATTATTTGTCAATCTGACTCATTTGACCTCAAATTATTTGAAAAGATTTTAAAAATTTTTCTAACTGAATTTTTTATAACAAATTTTAAGCTGTGTTTAAGTAAATATATTTTACTTAAATTTGATTATTACCAACTTTTCCTCCAAACTTTTTTTTTTTTAAAGTAATTTTTTATTTGTACAGTAACCCTGACCTAACGATATAATCACGCGCTGCTAATCATTTAGTTACTTTTATTGCTTTTTTTCAAATGTCAGCTTTCAATACTATTTTTTAATGAGTTTTTCTTTAGTAAATTTAAAAAAAAAAAAATAAAATTAACAAATAATGAAAAAATAATAATTTTGGTTACCTTAAGAAAACTAATCAATATGTAGTAATAAATAAAACAAAATAAAAATTCAACTAAAAATTCAAAATTTTACTTTTGGGTAAAAAATTTTAAACATTTTTTTGAGAAAATTATCTTAAATTAATTTTTGAAAATTACGATGTCATCATGCACTAATACATTTCGAAAAAAAAAAAATAAATAAAAAAAATATAAGGATCGACTCTTAACATTGCTATGAAAATTGCTATTATTACATTTTTCTTGGATCACCCTAATGGGGTTGCTATTTATATGTATTAAATATGTTGGCGTAATTCTTCTCAAAATGCAGCTTAAGTTGCCAGGCAACTAACTATCTTAGTTAAAGTTTACACTTTTTTCTTTTATATAATATTTTCAAATTATTTTCCGTTACCTTATCCTTAGGAATACTCGTATGTATGTGTATGCATGTATGTACTTATACAAATAGTAAATATTAATATAATTTTTTTCCTTTAGAGTGAGCCATACGGCATGCTGAAGGAGACGGCTGCTAAATTGGAAGGCAATGATCAATTCGAAGGCTTTGGCATCGAGTTAATCGAGGAGCTGGGCAAAAAATTGGGTTTCAGCTTCACTTTCCGTCTGCAGGAGGATAACAAATATGGTTCGTTCAATCCGAAAACGGGCAAATTCGATGGCATGATGTTGGAGATTATTGAAGGAGTGAGTAATTGTGGCAGAGTAGTTGTTGACACACACACACGCACACACAAACCCACACACACATGCGTATACACATCAAAATTCAGCTAGTTTGCTCTATAGCAAATAATTTTTTTTTATTTTATTTTTTTTTAGGTATATTTATTTATTCTCTATCAACTGTCACTGACGAGTTGAGCGCATTTATTTAAGTAAACAATTTCCGTTCTGATAAAATATTTTTCTCTTTATATACATATGTATGTATATATGTATTTATATGTGCTCATATATAAATATAAAAGCCACCTACAAATTGCAGTGATTTTCATGATTTACTGCGTTTATATTGATTTGAAAGGCAGTGGGCTTAAGCACATAAATTACACGAATGAATATACATCGGTATGTATGTATGTATGCATTTATCAATAAATCCTATACGCTTTCACTGTGCATCTACATAAATACTCACAGATATATATAAATGTATATGTTGGTGCGCATAAAACATATTTGACATATAGCGATTTATTTTTGTTAACCGTTATTTCTCTTATTGAGTTTGTGTATGTGTGTGTGTGAAAGTATTGAAAATATTTTAATGAACAGATAAAGTTATCAATTTCTTATATAATTTTTTTTTTGGTTTTTTTGGAAGTCAAATGACCGTTATTAACATAAATGGCTTTCATTCTTTGACAGTCACATGTACGGGCATACATACATACGCATATGTTTAAGTGTACGCCTATTGAGTTAGTTATTTGCTCATGAATAGCCTTGCATTAAATTGCTGCTTTCGTATGTATGTATATGTATATAATTGATAAATGCACGTATTTTATTACTATATGTACAGACATACACATGTACAATATTTATATAATACATTCTCCGTAATACCGCATTTGTATCCATTCTGTGAATATAAGCTCCACATATTCCCTTATTTGGCCTAAATGTTTTCAGAATTGACATTTGCATTTGTGGTGGTCTGTATACCAAAGAAGCTCTGCAGGACATTTTAAGGCTTAAAAAAATATTTCATATGAATTTAGTTCAAATGCTTCAGGCGTCGGTCAAATTCATGATGCTTCAGTTCGATACGTAAAAGAAGATATAGAATATTTCAGTTTTTAGCATCTGTTTAAAAAAAATTTTTCTTCATCGAAAACGTCTTCGAATCGGATGTGTTTTCATCACTATTGTTTAGGACCTTTTGGTTTTTTCGGGCAGCTCCATAGATCCATGAGAGTAATACTTCTGTGGGGAAGAAGTTGCTTAAAGGATTTTAAGCGGCTCTACTGTCTGCTAATTCTCTACCGTTAAGGGAGTTTTGCAGATACCGAAACAGATGGTGCAAAGTCCGGCTAGTTTGGGTAGCTGCATCAAATTTTGCCTACAAAGTTCCACTACTTTCACCTTGTTATAAAATATATCGTGGTCTGGTATTGTGCTGATGAAACACAAACCCCTTTGCCATTGATCAATTCTGGCTGTTTTTTCTGAAGAGCTTGTTGTAAGCTGTTTAATAGTTGACAATCGAACTAATTAACCATTTTAGAGTGTAGACACTCATTAAAGACAACTATCTTCATACCCAACCATGAATTGAGTTGAGTTGAGCTAAGTTGATGCGGCTGCTGATCATTACCAGCCTACATAGACCAATATGCTCATTGTGATATCCTGGCAGGCAACTGTTTTCACCTTCCCAACTGATCGAACCATTTCGTCTGTCTTATGAAGGCAAAGAGATTTCTCTATTTTTGATTAGGTTATTTCAGCTAGACAGTCGAAGAAATGTTTCCCGAGGATTGTGTGTCGCGCTGATGTCAGAGCTGGACAGTGACAGTGACAGAGATAGTATTCAATAGACTCCTTCTCTTCTTCGTCCCTGTAGCTGCGATCAAACTAATTAGAGTGATGACCAATTATTTTCCCGTGAAGCTTCATTAACCAGTGACTTGTTATTATGCCTGTCATTATGCTAATGAAGAACCGTTCGAGAAGGATAAGATATTTTTAACATAAATGGCGTCTAACATGAGCCATAGCTGTCTTGAGCCTGTCGCTTTGGCATGGGTCAGTTTAAACATAAATTTTGCAGTGAACAACGTTAAGCATACATCGTGTGCATGTTTTGTTGTAGATAGAAGACTTCGTTCTCTACCGAGAACTGAGATTGGGTTGTGTTGCTAACACAGGTTTGAGTAGCTACTCGCCGGTTTCCTTGATTGCAACGAATTATGAGAGCAGCGTTTCTCACAATACTCTGGTAGCCTTATACTCATATTTATTGAGAGCATCGGTGATGGCTGTGGCTCTCTGATCGAAGACCTACACCTTACTCATTTCTGTTTGGGAATATCGTAGAGACAAGATTGTCGAAGCACATACTGGAGGTGGTGTTGTCCTGCTACTTCAGTTTTTCTGCAAGAGATAATATTATAAGCATGCTAACTACTGCAGTTAGCCAAGACTAAGTTGGTTTCAGTCTATTTGCGTTCAAGTATACCCAACCATACACTCAGCACCATTTTTTTGCTGCCAATTTAAGCTTTAAACTCGTTTGTAGAGAATCACCTGCCTTTGATCATTATTTTGTTTCATATTCTCATCTTTAATCCATTTTTCATCATCCATGACGATTTTGGCGATTCTTAGAACTATTTCGCTGTTCATAATTCGTCCGACCAAATTGTTTGGCACTAACTCATGTGGTTCTCCCATACCAAACTTCAAACGTCAAACTTTGAAGGGCCAGCATTTTTTTAAATGATTTCAAATTGTCATTTGAGTGCTGTGTAAAGCCTCCGCTAGCTCTTTTCAGCTTGCATGTGGGTCTTGCTTGATTAATCGTAAAATTTCATTGGCTCTTTGAGTGACTGGCCGACCGGAACGATATGCTTCTTTGACATCAAACTTTTTGGAGCGGAACCGAGCAATCCGCACAAATTTTTTCGGTACAGTTTTGCAGCGCTTGTGCTGTTTTTATAGGAAAACGTATCACATAACATAGTCCTTCAGAATTTTCGCTAATTTCCAAACTTAAATAAGTTTTCAGACCTATAGCCCCAGCTTATTATCTTTCTTACAAATAAGTAAATAAATACAACAAGTTTTACCAAGCTGACATACGAAAAATATTACTAATTGTTAATTTCTTGAGATATTCGAGAAAGTGTTTATAGCCAGCTTAACATAGTTGTGTGCTTTTTTCAATAAGATTCTAGAAACTAATGAGTTTGCGATGACTTTCAACTCTCTTTTAATGCTTGTAACAAAGAGTCAGTCCACGTCTAGCCATGATCCCTTATTAGCTTAAATTTTCAAACTTCTCTAAAGAGCAGTGGACAATTTGAAGCAGAATCGTAAAGTTTTTTGAGTACTGAGGAGCTCGTCTACTATAAACTTTGTTGAAATTGTTCAACGTCATTTAATTTTTAATTGGACCTTATGAGGGTCGTTTGCTGCTTACTTCTATGCTCTATAGCCAAGCGGTTGATCTAGGGCCTATATAGAGTCCTTGCAATTAAATAAGTAAGGGCAGTACCAATAAAATGGATGAGGATTATCTTCATTAACTGCTATATTTTTTAGCAGATTTTCTTACTTTACCTATATTACTCTCTGAAGTTAACTTTTATCAAACTCCCTCAAACTTAGCACCCTTGAACTAGCAATAAAATTCCTAGTGGGTACATTCTGTTGTGGGCTTAATCATTTGTGTGCGTATTATATGCACAAACTATTGCTTATTTGGTCAGCAAATCCTCTTCGATATTTTATCAACATAATAATTTTCATTTCCCTTCTGGCCGCCCACATTCACCTCTGCGTAATTAATTCAACCACAATTACGGTTGGCATTTATTTTCAGAGAATTACTGAGAGAAATTTGGGAAAATGATGAATATCTTATTTAAATAAATAACTGAGTTTGTAAATGTTGTGCTTTTGTGCTAAGTTATAGACAGTTCAGTGAGTAAAAATTTTTTGAGATTTTAATCTCAGTTTGATTGGATAAGTAAATATCTCATATATTCTCTTCTTGGAAGTCTTCAGAGATTAAATCTAAATCTTCATGTTTTCTCTGTGTTTGCATTCTTACATTTTTTTATTTAATCCGTGCAGAATAGCTCAGGTCTCTATTACCTTTACTCAAACTGCGGATTCGTTGGCTGTATGGCATATAGTGCCGAGTTGTTGGAATCAAAAGTCGACCACGTTAACGTCCTCCAAAGCATGCATAGAAAAGTCATTAGTCATGCTACAAATGATAGTGGCTTTATGACCGACCTCTCAGAACCCACAGAGAACACCAAACGGGGACTTTTTGGGAATGTAACGGCGTCTCAAGTAAGGCTTGTGGATTATCATCCCTTCGTATCTGGGAATTTCATTTATTAACGTACCCTTTTAACCGAAAGTGAGCTTCATCGCAGCTTGGACGCACCAACTGCGCCATTATTTTCGAAATAAATTTGCACGTTTTTTAGACGTAGTTCCGTAGTAAGTCTATTCCCTAAAAAGTATTTCCTCATTGAAAGCCACACGCCTTGAAAACACCCTTCATCTCTGTAGGATGTTGGAGAGACTAAGCTCAGTTTCGTAATCCCAATTTCTATATCTTCATTGAAGAACCGGGAACTCTCTACAAAGGAAAAGAAATTCAGTTCTCAAAATTATATTTAAGTTGTAAGGAAAATTTGATCTTAGAGAGAACAATATTTGCTCAGATGGCATGGAAAAGATTAACCCTTTCAAGTGCCTTTGCGAAAAATGCCGGTTGATTTTCAGAGTTTTTCTAAGGTTCGGGAAAATGCCCGATTCAAAAAGCAATAAATTTTGGATGAAATACCGAACGAACAAAATACTGATACTAGTTTTTACGTAAATTTAGTTTGAGATAGAGTTTTCCCGGAGCGCAATATCGGCTTAGGCACTAAAAGTGTTAAATATTTAATTTCATCGTGGGATGTCACACGGGACACACTTCATTTGAATATCAAATAAAATTCAGTGCATAACATTTTAAGATACAGACGAAATATAACAATTCAAACGATTTTCAAAATCTCATGCAAGACAATAAGCCAATATGAAAAAACCTTAGGAAACTCCGATCTAATCGACAGGGGTATTGTCGAGATTTAATTCAGCGATTTCGTATAATCAGATTACATTACCTTCCTTGTTTTCTATTTTCATCCATATATTTTCCTTGAAAACGAAATGGTACTTTAACTTTCGACCGAAGTATTTAAGTACCAGAAGTTAGGCCTACCAGTTTGTATACTGACTGCCTCAGAATGACGATTTGAGTTTATTTAACTAAATTCCTCTCTCTGTCGGTTTGTACACAAACTTGTCCCTTCCTTTTCTAGATATTTCAATCCAACCTGTTGAGCAGATAGTCTTTCACACCGCGTAGATCATTTGTCGGAACCACAGAGATTTGATCGCTGGAACATATAGCCACACACACAGCCGATTTGTTCAGTTATGTGATTTTGGAGCGTACTCAATGAGGTATCTTAACATACAAAACTTGGAGTCAATGTTATCGAAATCGGACGACCATTTTATATAGCCACCTTACAACTGATTGGGTTTTAGCCTGAAGTTTAGTATTCTACAAACGAGCTAACAATTAAAAATTGACACTGAAAATCAGTGAAATCGAGGGACTATATCAAAAAGACCTCATACCATCTTCTATAAGTGTGTACAACTACTGGCGTTCTGCTTTCTCCAGGCCTGACAAAGAAGCAAAGCGAATGGGTCTGGTAGTGAACGAAGACAAAGCGAAATATCTCCTATCATTAAACAAACAGTCATGGCATTCGCGACTTGGTTCCCACGTCTCTGTTGACAGTCATACCTTTGAAGTCGTAGATATCTTCTTCTATCTTGGAACCAGTATTAACACCAATAAAAGCATCAGCCTTGAAATCCAGCGCAGAAACACTCTTGCCTACAGGTGCTACTTCGGACTGGGTATGCAATTGAAAAGTAAAGTCCTCTCTCGATGAACGAAACCCAAACTCTACAAGTCCCTCATCGTTCCCGTCCCGCTAGATGGGCGGAAGCATTGGCAACGGCGAATATCGCAGATGAAGAAACGATGAGCTGTACGAGTTATACAGCGACAGCTTTGAAAGTTTTCAATGCAGTGCCCGCCGGTGGAAGCAGAGGAAGAGGAATACCTCCACTCCGTTGGAAAGACCAGGTAGAGAAGGACCTGGCTGTACTTGGTATTTCCAACTGGCGCCAAACATAGCAATAACCGGCTATAATCGCGCAAGCGGTGCCAACGGCAATAAAGAAGAAGAAGAAGAAGAAGAAGAAGGGTATTTTTCTGAAACAAAGTCACAGTTGTTATCGATAACTCTTACGTCTCGGGAAATTTTTCAAAAATCTTTCGGCTTGGAAATTATTTTCACAGATTTCTCCCATTTAGTAGATATTTACGTAAAAATTATTTAATTTTTCCCAGAATCACACACAAATAACATTTCTTGTAAATTCTAATTAGTCTCCGCAACCTATTCATTCATTACTCATTATTGCTGATTTAAATCCACAGAATTCTGCAAGTTTTTAAACTTCCTTGTTATTTACTTCTGTTTTTCTTTTTCACAGCGAGCCGACATGGGTATTACCGACTTGACCATGACTTCGATACGAGAGGAGGGCGTCGATTTCACAATACCCTTCATGAATTTAGGTGATTTATGCAAAGAAGCAGACGAGAAGACACAACCCTGGCACACATCAATCATAATTCATTTACCCAGGCCACATTAATTACTTTGTTTGGTTTAACCAACATGAACATGTAATGGACATACAAATGCGTATCAGAGTGTCCTTAGCTACAAACTTAGTCGCATCGGTAGTCTTGCACATATTTGCTCACATTTCTCCATTTTACTCACACAATTGCCAGTTGGCCAACTCATTTACCATTCCCCACTTTCCAGCTATCATACCTTGGAATTACAAACTCAAAGAGCCTGTCCTTGAAACCAAAAATTCATTACGTCCTTGAACGCAAACCATTTAACTCTACTCACATTCATTCGAAGGTATCTGCGTAAGTATAAATTTATTTTTTTTCTTTTCTTTCTGCCCAACAGGTATTGCCATCTTATTTCGCAAGCCAATGAAAGAGCCACCCAAACTCTTCTCATTTATGTCACCATTCTCGGGCACTGTTTGGATGTGGTTGGGCATAGCCTACTTGAGCGTATCACTAACACTCTTCATATTGGGGCGCATTTCACCGACCGAGTGGGATAATCCGTATCCGTGCATTGAAGAGCCCACCGAATTGGAGAACCAATTTAGTTTTCCTAATTGCTTGTGGTTCTCCACCGGTGCACTGTTGCAGCAGGGCTCTGAGTTAGCGCCAAAGTGAGTAGAATCTTACCTTCAATTAAGTGCGTGCATGTGCGAGTGCGTGAGTGTGTAAAGTAGACTCATGCACGAGACACTCGTACATACTACATGGCTTGTTGAGCCAGCCAAACGCACACTTTTGCATTCATCAACAGCACTTTTCACGCTCTCAACCGTTGCGCGTGGCCGTGTGCCTTTCGCAGAGTCAAAGAAATTAATTTTGTTTCTTTTTTCCCAGAGCATACTCAACGCGTACTGTGGCCTCAATTTGGTGGTTTTTCACGTTGATTCTGGTCTCCTCATACACCGCAAATTTGGCCGCTTTCCTGACGATAGAATCACTCAGCAGCCCCATAGAGAATGCAGAGGATTTGGCCGCCAATAAGGGTGGCGTTAAATACGGCGCAAAAGTGGGCGGCAGCACATTCACGTTCTTTCAGGTGAGTGAGAGTTTGCGGGTATGTACATGATTAGCGCGAATACACATACATACGTGCGCTTAATGATCTGCACACTTGGGTAAGTTTGTGTTTGTACACTTGGTATAATACTTTGCGCTCTCCATTACGTCACAGGACGCTAAATATCCAACGTATCAGAAAATGTACGAGTTTATGCGCGACAATCCGGAATATATGACCTCAACCAATGCGGAAGGTGTGGACCGTGTGGAAAATGATAATTATGCATTTTTGATGGAGTCAACCACCATTGAATATATCACCGAGCGTCGCTGTAGTTTGACACAAGTCGGTTCGCTTTTGGATGAGAAGGGTTATGGCATTGCGATGCGGAAGAGTAAGTTTTGAAAGGAAATGAATTTGTAAATGAAATTATGGAATGTGCTTAAAGGTGGAGTGCGAGGTAGAGCCACAAGTCACAATGGCGTGGAAGACAAATATTTTACACCAATGCATAGAGTATTTTAAGCTGCTTCCGAACGATTTATGGATTCTTATGAGAAATTTCAATTTTCTTGTCAGAAGTATACTCCAAGCTTGACATTCGAAAAACAAAATTTTCACAATTTTGGATGTTGATTTGAACCCTGGTCTTTACTCCTCTCGGCCTTTTCGGTTGATTGATTTCTTGGTTTTATCGTCTAAAAAATGCTTAGTTTACCTAAAAGGCTTTTGAAAGAAAGATCTTAGATTTTGGAGTCAAAAGTTTTAGGATCAGTTGGAAAAACCAAAGAGTGCTATAAAATTGCTACTACTGACTGACTTCCGGTAGGCTCAATGACTTGATTGTGCTTACGAAGGGGATATATGAAGACGACGTCAGGAACAGAACTTCTCATTTTTCGAAATTTCGTACGATGAAAGGGGCCGTCACGTCAAGTTCACTACACTGACAAATGGTCTCTTTTAATTTTCTTGCATATTACGCTTTGAGTTTGTTTCGGACTGTGAGAAAAAGTAGGAATGGACCTCAAATTTTAAACTAGCAGCAAAACATCTCATTCCCAGATCAAAGGAGGTGAACTACTCGCACTCTATTAAATGTAAAATGCAAAGAATGACTGTTTGAATACATTTCGTACTTTATTTATCAAATACATATTATAATAAAGCCTTAAAAATTCTCAGATTGGCCCTATCGCGACATCCTCAGCCAAGCCGTACTCGAGCTGCAAGAACAAGGTGTACTCACCAAAATGAAAACCAAGTGGTGGAAGGAGAAACGCGGTGGTGGAGCCTGTTCGGTAAGTTTGGCGCTATGAAACAAATTTATCTGTAGAAGAAAATCAATACGTACGTAAGAATATTTTCTTGCAAAATGAAAAAGGAATTGGATTAAATGAAAATTACCAAATTGCTATAATATTGTTTTCCAAAGGATAGCAGCAGTGACGGTGGAGCCGTAGCCTTAGAGTTAAGCAATTTAGGGGGCGTCTACTTGGTACTGATTGTAGGATCCTTCTTTGGTGTTTTTGTCGCTATACTTGAAATGGTTTTGGGCGTAAAGGAACGCTCCGATGAGAACAAGGTAGACAATATCATAAAGTGATTTAGTAGTTACAAACTACAAAAATAAAATAAAACTCAAACAATATCAAATAAATTTAAAAAAAAATAGAGTTAAAGTTGAACGTAACTATAAATATGAAAAAAAATAAATAAATAAAATAAAATAAAATAAACTAAACTAAAATAAAATAAAATAAAATAAAATAAAATAAAATAAAATAAAATAAAATAAAATAAAATAAAATAAAATAANTAAAAAAAAAAAAAAAAAAAAATAAAAAAAATAAAGTTAAATAAAATAAAATTAAATAAAATAAAACCTATTTAAAAAGTAGTTGCAGAAATTATAACGTAATTGAGTAATACAAGATAAAAAAATGTTACATAAAATAAATAATCTGAAAGAAAATTGAAAATCGTGTGTAAATGCAAAAATGCTTCTCTAGACCCCCAACAACAAAACCATTTACTACAAAGAATCACAACTGATATTTATACATATTTACAATGTGTAGGACTAAACAGAGACATAAACTACTTGTTATTTTTCCATGAAGAACTATGTAGTTGTACACAAATATCAACGCAAAAGTCATTGCTTGAGCTCCCTTGAATTTTTTAGTCTGTAGATGCCTCTTCCACTGAATTGAATATTTTCGTATATAAAATTGAATTGAATTTTTATTGCATTTATAGTTTTTCACTTTATTATATTCTTCGCTTTCACTTCTACACTCAAATACTTTTATTCGTTCAATTTAAGTTTATTTTCCTTTTTTCCTCATTTTATTTATGTAACTGCTTTTCGCCTTTCAACGCATTCTGGCGAAATCTTCCGAAAACAAATACAAACCGCCAAACAATTCTCTTCAATTCAATGAAATTGATGTATTGAAAATGTAATATAAATCTATAACAACAACAACAACAAAAATAAATACGATACAAACAATATAAACAAAATAAACTTCAACGTTCACAACACGCTGCCATTATTCACTGTGCCGCGCGTTGAAATTAAATTCTCTTTTCGAAAACACGCACATACCTATATTACAACAAAAACAACATCAATGACCTTGCCATGGCTTGCCACATCATACACTCCGCACTCCGGCATCCGCCATCTGCTGTTCGTTCACCATGATGCATCCGTCCATGCAATCGCCTTCATTCAACCATGCAACTAAATAACCAACCGACCAACCAACCGATCAAACCGAACCTGAACCACCCAACCAACCAACCTACACTACGTCGGTCTTGTCTGCCACTCCTGCAGCAAGAGGGCGAAAATGATGGCGCCGAGGAGTTGGGCATTGCCAATTTGGGTGGCGTTTATTTTGTTCTATTCGTAGGCAGCATATTTGCCAGCATCTATGGCTTTGTGGAGTGGATTTGTCATGTTTATGGAACAGCACGACGTAACAAGGTACCAGTGTGGCCAGGAAGAGCTTACCTCTGTAATAAATAGTACATATGTAAATACCTAACACATGGTTGCTTGAAAAGTTCACGATCCGGTGAATTTAATGTACACAGAAGTAAATAACAGAAATTTTTGGAAAAAGAACGGAGCACAAAGTTATTACAAGATTTATACATTGATATGATCTAGTAATCCATTTGCTCAAAGTAACCAGTTATAGACCTGTGGCTCTTTTAGGTTTATCGTCTTTGGCCTTAATTTGCTTTGTGTCAAAAGTGCGGGATATTGGTACTTTCTCAAACTGGAAAGACATTTCTTTATTTCATGAGAGATTGACCTACTGGCTCCTGGCAGGTTCATGAAGTTAGGCAATAAATTTGATTGAGAGCAGTTATTTTTAAGATCATTACATAAATTCATGAAATTCGCACGGGGCAGAAAGAGAGCACAACTTGAATATAAAACAGATTTTTTTTTGATTTTGCTGAAAATTTTATTCAATCTTATGTAATGTCGCACATTAGTTTACCCCAATATATAGGTATGCTTAGTGAAAAATATGGCAAAATATAATCTAAAAATTCTAAATTTGATTTTTGATGATCAGTACTCAGAGATCCTCGTGAATTGATATCCTTGATTTGTGAAATTTGGAAGGTTGGGACCGTTGAGAATACTGCAACAGCTGGGAAAGTAAATACCATAGGGGGTTTCAAATACTTTACTTGAATATTCAAAGAAAAATGGCATTTTTTGAGATAAGTAATCGGATGTTTATTTCAATGTAAAGAGGAAGTTATGCCGTTAATAATCGAAAACAATATTAGCCAAAAGGCCGTCACCGCTACGCTTACAAGACTGTATCCTTTTTTATGAAAGTTTCGATCCCTAAAGTACCTGCCGTTTCCTCTCAATAACTTCACGAATTCCATCATTGAGGCCTTGAATCGACATTAGCTTGTTGTCGAAGACCTTATATTTCACGTGACCCCAAAGGAAGAAGTCGCAAAGTGTTAAATCAAAGGGACACGATGACAAATTGCGATCTCGTCCTCGAGAAATCACGTGGTCCGAATACTTATTACCGTAACCATTGAGGTGGAGATGGACCTCATCAGTCAAGATGATTTTTCGATATAATTAACGATAAGTTTAATAGATTTCAAGGACTCAATCAACAGAGGCACGAATTTAATGATGATATTCCAGCTTGAGTTCTTAGATTAACTGCACTTTGTGAGCACTAAGATCCAAGGTTTAATTAAAGTTCCAAAGAACAACAAGGAAGGAACAGACATCGGTTTTCTACACCTCTCTGGGCTACAGCTGCCATATTTTCAATTATTCCTGAGCGACTTGTTTGTTTTATTCATCACATCACTAACTTATTCCAAAAGATCTATTTTATCACTAATTTCCGCAATGCGGTTCAAGAAGGTGCCTCACGACGATCGAACAATGGTTTTCACCATTTTTATAGTAAATTTTAATATTTTTAATGTGTTATTGAAAAGTTACAGCGGACGTCTATTCAAAATAACACCTATTTTTGGAAAACCAGTTATATAACTTAGCTCCCAAACAACTCATCATGAATAAATTTGTAAAAATATTTAATAATAATATATATAAAAAATATGTTGCACGGGACAAAGTGTATTGTAAGATTTACAAATTTTGTTACACAGTGTTTTATTATTTTTATTTTCATAAAGTAAAACTTACAACATAAATCTTATAAGTTATGTGTTTGGGAGCTTTAGTAACTAGACCTTAAGCTCCTCCGCCGAGTGTGTTTCTTTAGAGTTTACTATTTATTTGAGAGGACTTTGTTTTTCAAATTGTATTCCCAGCTTAAGGTAAGAATATTTCCACGGCGTTGACATTGTCGCAGATATTAAGGCTGATCCCTAAATAAACGGAATTATCTACAGCTTCAAAGATAAAACTTGGAGACCCTCATATTTTATTTTATTCTTTTTTAATGGCAAACCATTTGTTACTTTCCCTTTTTCAGTTTCCGATTAAAATATAAATAAATTAAAATATCATTTGGTAACACAAATCTTGGAGAGACGCTCGGTATGAACGCTCTGAGTACACATTTTTTTTTCATGTCGAACGGTATATAACGATTTCAAAAGCTTACCGCTGTTTGTGGTCCGAAATGGTGGTGCCGAAACAACATTGCGAACAAATGTCTTTTCATTAATGTTTCCAGTATTTTGGGCTAAGAGTAGACCTTTTGAAGATTAGTCTTACCTTAATAATTGTAATTCCACTGATGTTATAAAATAATAATAGTTTTACTAAAAAGATTTGCAAACATCAAAACTGTTCCAGGACTAGTTAGCCTTGGACTTGGCGGAAAAGAACTACTCGATTGTAATTTAAAAATATCTCAGTCCATAGAGCAAAATAGAGTAAAAATTTGTTGGACGCAAGTCACTTTTAGTTAGTCTAACAGCACGGGTTTTTTCTTTGATATTAGTCTTTTGGGAATTATCTGTCAAAATTTTGCAACCGGAACTTTTCAAGCAGCCCACATGCATGTATTTGTGTATGTGCTAACTTTTCGTAGGTACCACAGGTAAAGATGGCGACGTAGTAAATACAAAAATATTCAAAAGGACTTCCACGGCATAATTTGAGAAAAATCAAGAAACACAAATATCCTAATTTCAAATTTAAAATAACACTAAGACCCACTGATTTTTTTCTGTTAAAAACTTTTGGCTTTTGTAGCGATTTAATTTTGCTTTTTACTCATTACTGTTTTTTTAATTTTTTTATTTATTTAACTCATTAAATCTTGGTAATTCGCTTTAATTACTTTTGTAAATAATATTCTTATTATAAGTATGTAAGTAAACAAAAAGTATATACAAATAAATAAAAAAATGTACATCCTTACTTATACACATTTCACTGACAACGCGCACACACAAGCCACTTCCTCTGCATCCTGCGCTTAATGTTTGCATCTGTGTATGTGTGCTTTATATTTTACATTCTGTATTCTATTTAATCTAATAACGTTCTCTTCTTTTATTTTTTCCACTACCTCCGCAATTATTATACGCAGGTGTCCTTCAAAACCGAACTCATTGAGGAGTTCCGCTTCGTTATGCAATGCTCCGGCAATACCAGACCCGTTAAATATCCCAAGAATTCGAGCCGCAGTCGCAGTCGCAGCTCCCGTTCGCGTTCGCGTTCGCATTCTCGTTCACATTCTCGTTCCAGTTCGAAAAGTTCTACATTGTCCGTGGACTCCTTGCCGTTGGATGAGAGTAAATTGCATCACATTAGTGAGCACACTAAGCACGCCAAATGAGTATACATATATACGAGTATTTACGTCTACAGTTGGTATGAGGCGTCGGCGACTGGTGGCGTTGGAAGATTTAGAAAATAAAAGCAAAGTTTTTACGTGCAACTCTTAAATGACTTGTTAGATTGCTTTGTTTTACCGTTAAGTATGTTGTTTATTATACCTATTCGTTGTACAGCAGCATTTACTTTAAGTTTTCCTGCTTCGAGAAGAGAACTTTACTCATCATTCACTTGTTAAAATTTTCTAAATAAATAAATCGATATGTTTGTTGTTTAAAATATTTAAATATTTTTGTTATTTTATTTAATTTTTATTTTTTTATTGCACATTGATTTAAGACTGTTGAAAAAGTTAGACCAGGCAATGTCAGTATGAAAGATACAGTAGAGATCTCGTAAAAATTGATCTTGTAAATAATAATCCATAATTTTTACATTAAATTGAAGTCTTCATCTACGATAGTCTGAATTATGAGATTTATGTCGAAAATACTCGATAAATTTTTGCCGCTTTGCAGGTAAGGTCATTAGGTATCTCTCATAGAGAACCGTGTCCCTATTGGCGAAAATTTTGGTACAATTGATATTCAGAGGCCTGTTTTTGAGGTCAACTGACTATCTTTCGACCACGACCGCCTCCGAAATGGGTCGATTTTGTTATGATGGAAATTCGGCACCCATACATCGATTTTCTTGGTGTATCCAATCTTTTTTAAGTGGTTCAAAACCGTTTTTTGTGTAATATTTAGCTCTTGGGTAATAGAAACAGTGCTCGCATGAGGACAGACTTGGTTCCACACTGCGGTGCATCCTTTAAATCAAAATTACTAGCACGAAATTAACGAAGAGGGAGCATTGACTATAACAGTATCGGGGCCATAAACACCATTCACATCTTCAGTTATCGCCATTATCAAAGAAAAAATGTGGCATATAGCATATTTTCTCTTTGCTGGTATACGCTGAAGAGCTACTGACTTAAGTGATTAATATTTCGTCAATTATCTTTTTTAGAACAAATTATCATATTTCTAACGCCAACTGGTGCAATCCCATTGCGCTTTTAGAGCTACATTTATCCTAAGCCTGAATATCACTTAAACTTTTCCTACCCAAGATTTTATTTCCAGATTTTCCATCACTAGACTCGCCTATAAATAATCTCTCTTCTCAGTTGTCGTATACTCGAATGACTAAAGATTAAAATGCAACAACAAACATGTGTTAGAAGTGTTTATGTGAGCTACAACGTTATTAGGCTTAATGTGACTCAAGCTCAGAGAAACTGCAGTACAGAACTGCCCCCAGTACTGTTCTCTGTACCCTTCTAGGAAGTCCTCCCACTGATTTTCATTAAAAATCTCAGAGACGTACGAATGGGTAAAACTTAACAGTTTTTGATCAAAGGCTTGAAGCAAATGATGAAAACTCAATGGAAGATTTGGTTGCACTAATAGAGGCCTTTTGCAGTAATAAAAGACACTTCATAATAACTTGATTCTGTAGTGTTAACTCAACCTATCACAAACCAAAACTCTTTCGTGCAGTCACACCATATCAAAGGCAAAAAGTTGGAGAAAAGTTGAAAATAGACGCTCAACTGTATACGAAACCTCCATGATTTGGTTCATGGACACGAAAGCTTGCTCAACGGCTAGAAGAGCACTAATTATAACCACAGTAAATGCACATATCGTAGGCACATCTTCTTCTACAAAAAAGCCTGCAAAAATCGGTCTTCAACAAATGGCGTTATGAAACAACAGTCGATGCAACCAAACAGATCAGAAAAAAAGAAGAAAAGTTAAAATTCCCAAACTTTTACTAACAAAAAATTTATTATTATTTTTATTTTATAATTCTGTAATCATATTGCACACTCTGTCTTGCAAAGCTTTAACTATTGATAGGTATATAGGTTAACTTTTTGCTTATTATAGACGACACCCATACAGAAAAAGCTTTCGAGAATACCTTCTTGAAATTAAGTTTAGCTACGAAAAAGCTTTTTGGCTTATTTAAGTGTGAAATAAAAAGCTTGAAGGTACTTTGAAATCGGAATAACTTTTGCCATACAAATTCGCCTTTTACTCAGCAGTGTGTGCTCTGCCAGCATAAATAGTTGTCTTACTAGATAAACTCCTGCCTGCGATAATGATTAATCACTTATTGTGATTATTATATTATATTTACAATAAAACAGATTTTATGTCATTGGGTAAGAGGATTCTAGTACGGGTGGGTGGGAGCTGATTAAACAAAACTTCAAAAAAATAAAGAAAAGTATAAATAAATACCCTGCCGTGGCCCGAAATTTGAGGTCTGTGGTACTAGATTTCATGGCTATCATACTGCCATCGAAACATCGAAACTATTGGATTTCGGTAAAGTCGCAAAAACCGCTGGTGCGACGTGAATTGCCGTGCCGCAGTTGAAAGGGATGAAGAGGTAGAAATACGCATTCGCAAACAATAAAGAAAGAGGCCGAAATGTAGGAATCAAGGTCGTAGTCTCGTGACCGATATCCAGACCGCACTTGGTGTTGAAGGAAACACTTCTCCAGCTTGTTGAAAGACAGTGATAGTGCAATTTCCGCCCCACCATACCATATAGAAGGGAAACCATGATGTATGAAAGACTTGAGCCAACAAACTGATTGGACCTTATTATTATGGCTTTAGACTTGATAAATACACTATTAATCTCTGCTCATCTATGCGCCATATCTTGGAAATACCAGTGAGAAAAAAAATCGATACGCACCACAATTTCAACGGTTTCAAAATTCAGCGAATCAAGAGATAGCGGCTACGCTGGCTAGTTCATATGGTTCAAATGGATGAAAGCAATCCAGTTCTGACACTAATCGAAGCAGTACCCGCTGATGGAAGCAGAAGAAGAGGAAAACCCTCACACCGTTGAAAGGGCCAGTTGGAGAGCCACCTGATCTCATTCGGCATTTCCAATTGGTGCCAAACAGTGGCGGATTCGGCTTTAATTGCATGGCGATGCTCATGCCAAAGAAGAAGAAGAAGGTGCTGAACTTTTCGTGGGTCGTAGGTGGGTAAGCCATTGGGAATACAAATAAAGGGTTATCAAATAAGAGGTGTTATTTTGAATAGTCTGATAGTCCGGTAGATTTAAGTTTTGAAATTGTAATTTTTTGGACATTTGACTAAACTACGCCAACAATAAAAATGGAATAAAACACGTTTAAACGACGCATTGGAATTACTACAATAAAATTCACTATAAATATGGTAAAAACCTGCAGAGACAGTTCGTAAGACTGAAACATTTTACGGTCGTCATGAAGCACCTTCTTGAACCGCATTGCGGAAATTGGTAAAAAAAAACTGTTGGAATAAGTTAGTGAGGAGAAGAATAACGCAGAAATAAGTTGCTCAGAATAATTGAGAATATTGCTGCTGTAGCCCAAAGTGTTGAAGAAAACCGAGGTTTGTACATTCCTCGTTGTTCTTTGGAATTGAGCATTCCACAAACGTCATTACACCATATTTGGCATAGGGACTTGGGTCTTAAGGCTTATAAAGCTCCGTTAACATAAGAACTCCAGCCGGTCGTATTTTTGCTGATTTAGTCCTTGGAAATGAATGAAAATAACCCGGAACTTCGAAACGAAAGATCACCTAAACTGATAAGGCCCAACTCCACCCCGATGGCTGCGACAATAAGCAAAGCTGTCGCATCTGGGGCTCGGTAAGCTCAAGATTTATTGTTGAAAAGCCAATACCTTCTCAGCGGGTAATCGTCTGGTGCAGTTTACGGCTCGGCGGGGTCGTTGAACATTACTTTTTCAAAATGAATGGATTGCGCTATCGAGAGGGGATTAGTGAACACGCAAGCAGCGAAACCATCGATATTTTAAGGGAAAAATATCTTTGAATATTAAAATAAAAAACAAATTAAATTAATACTGAACGCAGTAATAATATTTATATTATGTAAGCCTTAAGAAATAAATACAAATAAAAACCTATAAAGACACCAATGAAATGAAACAGTTTTTGAAACACTTTCAGTAATTTTTTTTATTATTATATTCAGTTAGACACTTAGAAATGGAAAAGGTATTTATTTCACGCTTACAAAGTTTTTTCTTTGCTTCTTTGTTGTTTTTCAAATACATTAGTTACAGTAAGACATCAGTTTCATATTTATTTGCTAATTTCACTTTGGTTTCTTTATAGTTTTGCAAGTACATATACATATTTTAAACAATACTTTTAGTTAATATATTTTTATTGCAATATTTAATATAATTATTTTTATTTATTATTAATTTATTTTATTTACTCTTTTAAGTATATTTTTGCAATTATTATTATTTAATTACTACTTGTTTAATTTTTATTTAAATACACTTACTGTTTATATTTATATATAAGTATATATGTATATGCGTGTATATAATTAAATAATAAATTTGTAGATACCAGTTTTCATTCTCTAAACTCTGTTTGCTTTGTTTTGTAGTAAGAGCTACTGTATGTGTGTAGAGCCTTTGAGTTAAGTTTGGTGGGTCTTGTTTTTGTTAGTAAGTATATATGAGTAAGTATATATGAGAAAATTTTGTGTTTTTAAAAATGTTTGAAATTTTAGTTTTCAATAGTTGAAGAAAAGTAGTTAAATCCATAAGTTTCTATTTATGTATTTTTAAAATGTAGCTTTTCCAAAAGTCCCTATTTTGAGTTGTCTGAGTTCTTTTTTTTTTTTTTAGTTTTACTCCATAAAAATGTTTATGTAAGATATTATTAGTAGGTTTGTTGAAATGTCGTCAAAATAAAAAAGAATTACTAGAGAAATGATTTTTTGTTGCTTAGTTTTTTTTTTAGCAAAATTTTACTAGTTCTAGAAAAGCTATAAATTTAAAGCTGTTAATATATTTTTCTAAAGCGAGTACTGTAATATTTTAGTATTTTTTTTTTAATTTATGAACATTAACATTATGTGTATTAAATAATTAAAAAACCTCAAGCTAGCAAAAAATGTATTTAAAGGCTTTTTAAGTTTATTTATTAGTGAAAAGAATTTGTGTGAAACCCTCATTTGTTGATTAGAAGTTTGAAAAAGGCAGCGTCTACAAACAGCAGTCATCATTCCCATCATTTTTTGCTTTATAACAATAAAACAGTTTATTTCTCGGAACAATATTAGGAATATTGCTATTTTTATGACATGACTAAATTTAGACATTTTGTTATCCGAACGTGTGCATTCCAACTGCAAAAAATTAGGGACGCACTCTTAAATGGCAGCTCGT